ATGAGCTGCAGAAAAGCTGACAGTGGCAGAGGAGAATATGTGGGCTGTTCTGCTGCTGCATTTGTATGGCATTGCTTCACTGAGCCATCGGCCTCAGATGTCACCCAGACATCACCCTGTCCAAAAGTGGGCTGTGTCCACACGTGTTCAGGGCAAAAAAAAAAAAAGCCAAACATATCTTTCAAGTTCAAGAGAATCATTTCACTGAAAACTCCATGTCAGATTAATACCTTAGCCAGCTAAGTGCCCCTGCCGTTAACATAATCTTTCTCTTTTCAAAGGTTTTCAAATCTGAGGTCACCATGGAGACCATAAAACACACCCAAACATGCATTTGACTTACTGCTTAGTCACCATCAGATTAACTTCGATTACTAAAGTGAGAGTTGAAAATGTGTAAGTTATTTCTTCTCTTCCATTAGTTGTAGGCTGTCTATCTAGGGACTAAGGTAGGTGGTCTTTCTTTTTTTTTAAGAGTTCGCTAAAACAGAAAAACTTTCCTACAGGAAGCTTAGAACACCAAAGAATTCTCACGTGTTTCTGCCCTTTCTTCTTCCTTTTTTTTTGAGACAGAGTCTCACTGTGTTGCCCAGGCTAGAGTGCCATGGTGTTGCCCTTTCTTCTTAAAAAAAAAAAAAAAAAAAAGGAATTACACAATAAATAGTTGTAACAAGATGAGAAAAGGTTGTTTTCATGATAAAACACATGCTCCTAAGAGAAAAGCTGGGATGAGATTAACATGGGCTGATCAAGGTATCAAAAACTTGGCAGCCTCTAGGTTAAGCCCTGCACATGTATCCACTGGGATGTGGAACAAGTGCTTCCCAGAAATTTGTGATCTAGGAATGGAACACACCTACTTCCCTTTCCACTCACTTTTCCCAGTGTCTTACCATTCTTGCAGCAAGATCTGATGGAAACCTGCTTTTTTCCCCAGCTTGATCACCTCACAGGATGATTATTTCTCCAAGCTGTCCCATTTTATGAACCAAAGTGTACATGGCCATCAAATGAAGCAGTAAGACCAATTTTCATAATTATTGCTGCATACTTGTTGGGACATTTTTGTTAGACACTGTACATTTTGAGTATTGGCATTAAGGAAAACATTAGGTACAGTAATTATGGGGTTTAATGTGATGGTGGAACCAAGTTTAAGTTCATATGAGTACGTTAAACAGGAAGTTAATGTATTCTAAAGCTCAACTCTTTCCCTAGAGTTCAGTGATGACTGAGTAACTAACTGTATGAGTATCCACCAAGTGACAGGCCTTAACTGGTGTCTCAAATCACAGAATTTCCAATTCTGGAGGCACTGTGCTTTCTATATCCTGTCTCTGGGCCTTTTCTTCCATATCCCAGCTTTAATCACCATCCAGAATATGATGATTCACAAGTATTTATTTTCTAGCTCTGTTTTTTCTCTCAACTTTACACCTATATTGCTAACCATCCTGGATCCCACCACTTAGATATCTCACAGGTATCTTAAACTTATGTGTCTAATCCAAACTCATTAACTCCTTTTTCCTCCCTACCTTGCAATTGTCCCAGTGGTAAAATCCAGTCTTTGAAATCCTTCCCCTCTATTCTCCTTTCCTACATGAAATCTATTACCAAGTTGCATTGATTTGGACTCTTAAATATTGCTCAAATCTGTTTCTTCCTATCATTAGGGCTGGAGTAGCTTAGCTTGAGGCCCTTATTACAGCATTTATTACATAAGGTACAAGTTTAGACTAGCTGATTTTAAGGTGCTTTTCACAAAGTCAAGGATTAGCTCTACCTTGCTCACCTCTGGTACTCTAGTACCTAAAACATGGTAGGTACTTAATTCATGTTTGTTAAATCAATTTTCACTGGATAAATACAAGTTTAGGGGTTGAAGCATGATGACAACACCAAGTTCTCTTCTTATTTCTGTATGGCACTTTACATTGACAGAGCCCTTGTATATTGTCTCCTTTCACACCCATGACTCCTTAAAGCAGATACACAAAGCGTCATTAGCTCTGTTTTGCTGATAAAGGAACCGAGGCCCTGCGAAGTTAAATGATCTGCCCAGTGCATGTGCCACACGGCTAGTAAGTGGCTGTGCAAGACTGTCTTCATCCTGACCTCAGTGCTCTTTCCACTACCAGGTACGTTTGTATTTTTACAGGGGTAATGCGTTCCCTCTCTGTACAATGGTTCAGACAGACGCTGATGAAGATGTGGTGGCAATGATGTTCAGACATCAAAGAGAACAATGGACTGTGTGACCTTTAATAAGGTTCTTCTGAATTCTGATTCCCTTAGCCCCGAGTGGCTCTAGAGTGGCAGAGCTGTTATCTGAGGTCTCTCTAGCGCCACCTTCTCCCCCTTCCACACTGGTCCTCAGCACAGCCTCCCGGCTCTGGCCTGACCAATGAATTCCTCAAGCTTTATCTGCCATCCGAGGGGCAGCATCAAGCCTTCAAGGCCTTTTCCAACTCTCATGTCGAGCTTCGGAAATCTTTCTGTCCTACCTGGGAAGAGTTCTTGCCAACACAGTTAAAACTGAATCTAAGTCTCCACAACCAATTTTCAATGCAGAGGAAATGTGGAAGAAAGAGGAACAAGCTGACACCACAGAAACAGAAATCCAGAACATGGTGGGACAGTTTATAGGACAACTAATCTGGCAGGGAGGAATTGAACCAGGACAACTGATCTGATCTCCACAAGCTACTCACAGTGGGGAAAAGAGGGAGCAAGGACTGCTCTGGAATTACAGACTTGACACAGACAGAACAAGCAAACGTAACATAAAGACTTTAGGTATTAATTTGTACAAACCAACTATAAAAGGGGGGGGCACTTTAAGACAATCAGGATACTCTGTGAAGCAGTAATTGCCATTATCAAAGAATTACTGTCAATTTTGCTAAAGAACAAACAGCATTATGGTTATACAATAAAATGTCCATAGTTTCTGGATGCATGCTAAAGTATGCAGTGATGAAATGACATTGTCTGGGATTTGTTTTAAAATACTTAAAAAAGGAAAAAAAAAGAGATGAAACAAATGTAGCCCATCTTGATAATTATTGAATCTGGGTGTAATATGAGAGCTCCTTATACCAGTTGAGATACATTTGAAAATTTTCAGAATAAAAAAATGTATTCTGAATCCTTTCTTCCAAGAGTCCTATCCTACACAAAAGTAGTAATTAGATTTAATGAGTTTTAACTAATAATTTTTGCTAAGGTGTGCTAATATTTCACACCCTACAGTTTAAGATTCTAGCTTCCAGAAGATCATCACAGAATGACGGCCCTAGCTGTAATTTCTGGCAACACAGTAAATGAGCAACACGTTTGAGTTTGGTTTTTGTGAACATTTTCTGCTGTTACCTCTCTGCCTTTACAGAGAAAACCCACAAGCTATTCTTAGCCACAGGATCTTGGTTAGATATGTTGATGACTCAAGCTGATTCTGTAAGCATCAATGGCTTACCAAGTCTGGAATTGCCAGTAACTGGGTGGAGCTGCAGAAATCCTCAAGAAGGAACAAAGCTAGAAGCAGAGTAGGGAGAAAGTATACAGTACAGCCCCTTAATGTTGGATACATCTTCAACCTGCGCTCAGCCAGAACCCATATTTACCTACTCCTTGGAAGCAAAATTTCCCAATACACAGGCTTTTATAAGGAGTGGAACTAAACTTCTGTGAATGTCCTAAACTGTCAGTTTACTACTTAAAACATGCTGCTTATCAAGCTAGTCTCCCAGCAAGAGTCCCCATCATTGGATTCTCAATGATAACAAGGTATTTCTTATAATCCAGGAGCTGAAGGCAAGTGCTTGAGAGCTTTTACAAGAATAAAAAAAGATGTGAGGCTGGCTTGTTTGGAAGGGCTGAAGAAACTGCAAGCAGAATGCAGAGGCAAGACTGCCGACTGAGAGGAGTAAAAGGCTGGGAACATTCATTCTGTGCGACAGCTTTTCTTTACAGAGTTAAGGAAGTATGTACAGAAGGAAGGGGGACCACAGTATACATCAAACTAAAGGGATCCAAAATTTAATATGATAAACACACCACTTTAAAAATCCATAGTGAATTGTTCAGCCCTCTTTCCAAAGCTTCCATCAGAGAGAACGTCTCTTCTGGAAGAAAAAGAAAGTACAAAGGGAGGACACTGAAAGTGTTAAGCTATTTCAGCAGCACAGGCGCAATGCAAACAAATGGTCTCAAATCCATCACGCTGTTTCATAAATTCTCCCACCAGAATCAAGGAGTGAAATTAGCCACCTCTATTTCTATTGCATTAAAGAGCTTTAATGTAAACATTTTAAAAATTAAATCTTCTATTAATTATTTTATGAAATAATTCCAATAATCTCCCTAGTTAAAAATTCTTCCAAAGTAAAGGTTAGGGGGTGAAGAGTGTTATGTGAATCTGATAGAAAGGTAGAGATAATGAAAGAGAAATAAAAGTTATTTTAAAAAATGCATCTAAGCTACTAGATAAAATCAATAAGGCGACACATAACGCCAGAGAACAGTGATCTTATTTGGGTTGGTGCAGGATTGCAAGGGGACAGGAATACTTCCTCTTGCTTTCTCTGCTGTAGGGATTAATGAAAGAAGGAAAATGGAAAAAACACATCATTTGAAATTGAGCTTTCCCACTGAGAGAGGGAAAAAGCATATAAAAGCTTCTGGATGCATGTCAAGGGAACGAATGATATTTTAAAAGTTTGGCTGGAAACCAAAGAGCTACACCCACACGCAAAGCTTAACTGCTTCCCAACACGCTAACTAGACCACATATTTCCCCAGCTGGGAGGCATTGGCAGGGCTGGAAATTGTGAGAAGGGTGGGGCTGCCTAGCTATATTGCTTAGGAACATTCCCAGATGGAGGAGTAGGGACCTGACTGTATTCCGAAGAAATTTTCACCTTCAGCCTCAGTCAAAGGACCCCAAGGGCAAGACGAGAAACAAACAAAAAGGGAAATTACAGTGAGGAATAGTTTACCTTGGGAGAACAGTTGAAATGCATACCAGGTACTGGGAGTGTAGTTACATACATTGTAATACACCGATACAGGTACAGCGTGCCAACTATGCAGAAAAATCTTCTGCTAATAATAGACCTAGAAAAAGGGAAAAACAGGGCAGATGCTCAGTCAAGAAATTCCGCAGGTTCATTTAAGTTTTTAATGACACAACAAAACAAATCCAAAAAACTGCTAGAGTGCTTAAAACCAGACTGAATACATGAATGAATAGAACGATAGCTAGTAGCAGATTAAGACAAAGATTTTGAGAATAATGTTCTGTTGTGCTTTTTTCAAAAAACATTAACTGGCCCAAAGAGCTTAAATCACTCTACACTGCTATTAATTTGGCTTCGTAAGGCCTTAAACTTGAGTTGACATTGAACTGATGTACAAATGGAGCCCATTCTGTCTGGTCAGAACTCAAACTAACTTTTTTGGGGCCTGGGGGTGGGAGGGCACAGACACTACTGAGTGTAGGAAAGGTGTAGGAAAGGTAGCTGGATCCGGTGTGGAAGCAGAGGTGGCAGGTCACGCCAGGGTGCTATGGGCATCTGGCTGCCAGGGCCATGCCCCCCATCCTAGGAATGGCACAAGCTCACTATGACAGGAGCAGCAAGGAGCTGGCCAGAGGAGGGGTGGCAATGTTCCCCCAGGACCCCAGGCAAGTAGTGGCAGATGAACTTGGCACAGGGGTTTGGGGTGAGGGGACTGGGGTGTGGGTACCCAGGGGGAAGGCTGGATGATCACGTCCATGGGGTATAGACTGTGGTGGTGGTGGCTGCCTGGTCCCGGCACCTGGGAGAAGAGCAGAGGAGTGGTCCTCGTCTGGCTGCCCCACACCAGCCCGGCTCATGCCCAATGGTGCCACACCAGCTGCCAGAGCCTAGGGTGCCTGACATGTGGGTGCCCTCACCCCACTGCACTCCCAGGAGCAGCCCTTCTCCTCACAGTGCCTGGCCCAGGTGAAGAAGTAGGACCAGGAGCCAAAGACCAGCCCACAGTGGCTGGTGCTCAGGTCCTGTGTATATGTGGGGTGTTGGGGGGTTGTGGTGCACCTGGAAGAAGCCCACCAAGGCAGCAGTTACACGTTTAGAGAATGTCTTTTAAAGGGAAGATCTTCAGAAAATGAGAATGGCATTAGAATGAGAATTTAAAACTTTCAGGCCATTTAATGAGTCAAAGACACTAAACATTTTACTCCCAGAAACTGATTTTCTGAGGCAACATATGCCAAGGAAAATACCAATCTGAAAGACAGCATCCAACCCCGCCCCACTCCCTGATTCCTGAGTGGCCTCGGGAGAGACTATTTACTTCTCTGAGTCTCGATTTCCTAATTAGTAAAATAGAGATAATAACATTAGAAATAATGTATGAAGAATCCCTACCATATAGTAGGCACAAATGGTAGCCATCAATTGTACAGGTATGTAGATGAATAAAAATATAAGCAAGAATTAGAAATAGTTTTTATTAGTGGGTAAACACAATTACTTGATATTACATATGTTGAAATTATCTGCTATACGTACATGTGTATAATAATCAAAATGCATATACACATATGTATTAATATATTGAGTTTGATAACTTTTCCTAAGATCAAATTCCACATAATGGCCAGGCACAGTGGCTCATGCCTGTAACTCCAGTGCTTTGGGAGGCCAAGGCAGGAGGACTGCTTGAGGCCAAGAGTTCAAGACCAGCCTGGGCAACATAGCAAGACCTCGTCTCTACAAAAAATTTAAAAATTAGCTGGGCATGCTGGCACATGCCTGTATTCCTAGCTACCTGGGAGGCTGAGACAGGAGGATCACTTGAGCCCAGGAGTTCGAGATTATAGTGAGCTATGATTGTGCCACTGAACTCCAGCCTGGGCAACAGAGTGACACTCTGTCTCTTAAAAAAAAAAAAAAAAAAAAAATCCACGTAAGTTTGTACAATTTAACCTCATTAAATCTTAGTGTATTCTTGGACAAGAACGTTCCTTCCCTCTCTACTTCTCTCCTCTTCTACCACAGGCCAGAAGCATGGTCCTGGGGTCTCCCCTTCTTCAACTTTGAACAGAGTTCAGGTTTTCCTTTATCTAGGATGACTTAAGTTAATTTAACAAAGAAATTTAGAAACTGTGGACAGGCTTTCCTCTTAAAATACTGAATGCTCAATCACTCTATAATCATACAGTGTAGCTCTATTTTTATGCAGGATGGGAATGCCTGCTGAGGTATGGTAGTCAGAGGAGAATATGTAGCATTTGTAACTTTTGTTTTAACAAGAGGAACAAAAAGATAAGTTGCCTGTGTGATTAAAAATTAATTAAAAAAAAAAACCCATGTAACTACATTAGCATTTCATTCATACCTGCAAAGTCCACGCAAGTTACTTAGGTTTTATGAGTAGAATCTGGGTGTCTTCTTACCTAGATTTCCGAAACTGGGTCAGAATTATTACCATAGTAGCCATCTTTGCTTATTTTCTGTTAGTTAAGCTGTGTATGTCACCTCCAAAGATAAGAATTTATTTAGCATAAAGCTGCCTTCAGAGGTATATGTCTCTAATTTCAGTATAATAAAAAGCACAGTATAATTAAGCAATATAAAGAAGGACAATACCAGAGAAAAATACTGGCCTATAAATGTCTTTGCCAAGAATACCAAAAGAGAAATACCCAAGTGAATTTTACATTGTAAGGTACCATGATCATCTTTCTTAAAAAGAAAATACCCATTCTAGCCATCCTGCTCAAACAAATTACTGGCAATTTCACTGGGACTATACAAAAAAACACCTGTAACCACCTCCCCATTGAACAAATGTCAATGACCCTATATAATCCTCTCCCTTAACTCACTACTTGACTTTTTGATTTATTTCCCTGAAATGGTAGATTTTCTGCAAGACAAAGGAGCTCAGATTCTGAAGGCCCCGGGCAGGGGCAGGCTTCCTGAAGCCAAGATTCACCATCCTCCACAAGCTACCCTCAATGTAAGTAACACCTTGTTAGTTGTATTACCTATGACCTGCCCCAAGGCCTGTGGCCCCTCCTTTAAAAGCCCTCATTGTCTTGATAATTGGATCTTTGTGCGATGAGCAGCCGGACATAGACTGAAACCTCCTTGCAATTTCGACAACACGCCTAAAACTCCCAAATCTAGATCTGTTGAACTCTTCAGTGGAAGAAAAAGATTACTATCTTAAAATCACTTTGCCTGATTATTTCACAGTATACAAAAGATACACACACGTCCCCCCAGTAACTATTTCCATATGTCAAACATGAGTCACATGTGAGTATCAATGAAATTATTTCAGAATTATCTGGGAATGAGGTATATGAAAAAATAATAAAAGATGAGAAAAGCTGAATCCTTAAATTTACTTTTAATTAAAACATTTAAGGTTCATTCACATTTACTATTTGACTTGCAGTGAAAAAGTCAAGTGAAGTAATTCATATGAATTTGTCAATGTTAAGAATAAGGTGACAAGTTAGAAGTGGTTGTTTTTAAGAATTTTCTGATCTTTAGCATGTATTTTTTTTAATTTTAAACTGATCCTGTGACAGATTATGATCTTTAGCATTTAATCTTTTTGAAATTAAGCTTAGAATGTCTTCAGTGTATACTGTTAAACAGGGATTTCCTAACACGACCTTTGAAAAGCAGAGTATAAAAGTGTTTCAAAGAATTGTATGCACTTCTGGCATTCATTTCTTTAATCAAAGAATCACACGCATTTAGAATTCTTATTTACTTAAAGGCATAAAAGTTTGAGATGTGTTTTTAAAAAATAAACGCAGAAGAAATGTTGAGATATTGCTAGCAACTAAGCAGATGTCAACAATAAGATGCATAATATAATTTTCAAAATCACAATGGTGTTCTTTGCACATGGGATACACCTCTCTTTTCTAGTCAAAAGAAGCCAGTTTCCATCTGCTCACACTTTGCGATGACCTTCATCTCAGAGACTTGTATTTGGTCACAGTTATCTATTTTTCTCCCAAGTGTTTGAGCACTGGTCTCATTACCACTTTTTCTGAGAGAACAGAGAAATGTACCTGTTCGATTTGATTATAAGGAAACAGGAATAAAAGTGTTAACATTTTATAGATAATTATTAAGATGTGCTAGAATAGTATGTTATGTCCATTAACATAATGGTGGCTTTATTAAACTTTTTAATATCCCTTTTTAAAAAGGAAAAAGCACTCAGAACTTGATTACATACTATCAAAATCAGGCTTAAAAAAGCAAAACTACAATGTTTTTGGCATTTGGCAGGACGATCTAAAATTCTAAAGGAAAATGGTGACAGAAGGAAATCAATAAACTGGAAAGTAAAATTAAAATACCAGAAAGTTCTTCGTGTTTCCCACAAGTTGTCTCTCTCAATTAATCCACAGCAGGAAGACACAGACAACTCTTTCAGTGCTCAGACCTGGTCTCGGAGCTCTCTCTGGAAGCTGTTAGCTTTCAGAAACAAACAGGCCCTGACGCACAGCAGTGGAACTAAGCAACCATTCAAAACTAAGCATCAGTAAACAAGGGAACGCACATGGAGCTGTGACACAGACTCAGGGAGACCCAACCCTCTGGAGTAGTCACGGAGGCCAGCGCATGATTCGGGGCCCTGATTAGTGATTCCGGCACTGAAATGTTGACAACACGTCACTGAGCAGTATCTTCACTTTGATGCTAGCTGCACCTTTAACGAAGACTCATTTGGTGACCTTGAATATCTCAATTAATTTCCTTGGAAAGTAGCATCCTCACCAGCAAAAGGAGGGAAAGTTCATCGTTTTCTTATGAGTCACAGAAATGGGTTAGAAAAAAAAATGGAAAGGTTATGAAATAGTACCAAGAATGGGTACCAGAATAGTCATTTTTTTCTTAATATCAGAGGTTGGAAAAATAAAGTAATTTTATTTAGAGCCAACTACCACACTATCAAAAAAAAAAAGTTTCTATTGAGGTGTTTATTTCTTCTGGCATGGTACTAACAGCAGCAACTGTTTTGCCAGGATTCTCCTATATGCCAAGCTCCGTGCCAACTTGGCGATGTATGGCTATGATCTTTATTTTACAGATGGG